TGTATGTACATATACTTGTATGAGTCAATCATAGCCTAATATGCATTGTGGAGCTATACATGTCTTTTATGTATATTAATTGTTGATAAATGCATGTATGCTACTGTCAATTTGTTAGTACATGTTGTATAGTTTCACATTCATAATTTACCCAGGTACATAATTTACACAAGGACTTCAATGTGGTGAGAATAAGGCCAGACTTGGAAAGAGATTTAAAAGGTGAAGGGTTATTCCTCTTTGTGAGCAGATGTATCTTAATAGTGGTTTGTAATGTATGTTTGTGACAAACATAAGTTACATCATACATATACATGTACATAGCCTGTGTGTTTACATTGCTTGCTGTTGATGATGTTCATTTCTTACTTTGCTTCAAGGTATTTTCAACTGCAAATGATTTAATGATTCTGCAATAAGGTGTAATGCAATACTTTCATAGCATGGAAAATGTCTAAGGCTATTGTCTGATTTTGTTTGTAGTAACTTAATTTCTAATAAATAAACATCGTTGTAACATAATGTTTTTTGTAGCTCTTTGATTAGTGGTGCTTTGACACTGGATGCAGCGCCAGTTTCCAGCTGCACAGGTTTCATATTGTTATAGTCTTAGCAATTGAATACATAGTAAGATAGAATATTGTGAGATTCCATGGTTTTTTATTATTGTTATAAATCATGATCCAAGGCTACAATTTATTTTGATGATTAATATTGATTATCTGATTAACTATGGCCATGGTATGTATTTTCTTATTTTTTTCATTTACTTTAATATCCTTGGATTTATAGTTAGTATTACAAATTTAATGTTGGACTTCTAAATTTCATATTTACTTTTGTAGATTATGAATAACAACAGCACTGTACATGTTTGTGTACGTATTCAGTATGTCCATAATAATGACTATTAGGTAAGATTTAATTTTTTAAAATCATGCATTTTGATAATCTGAATTTTTCATCTAGAAATATTGAAAGAAACTAAAGGGAATTAGTATTTATGTCTGTCAAACACTTGGCATTGCTAATGTATTTTCATCCTGGCTTTACGCTGATGTATTTTTAATTGACAGTTTGATTTTTTCTTTTAACATTTATTATTATAATGACAAGTTTTTAAAGTACATATATTAAATAAAAGTTATAGTTTTGGACTGAAGCCCCTCAGGACCTCTGTCTACGGCCTCTACCTCCACCCCAGCCAGCTCTCCTTTGTAAATTGGTATATTATAACGGAATATAAATATAATATTAAGTACATCATAGGAAAGACTTACTATTTGTCTGTTCACAGCCCTGGGCTGGGCAATTATATGCTGCCTTTGCTGTTGCAGCAAAGGCAGTCCTGCGGCTGGAAGGGCTTCTCCAGGAGGGAGCACGGGCGGGCCTCCGTCTTCTGGAGGTGGTGGGCCTCCAGCTCTTGGGAGTGCTGGAGGTGGTGGTGGAGGCCCTCAATCTCCAGCCACTGGAGGTGGCGGACCTCCAGCTGCTGGTAGAGCTAGTGGTGGTAGCAGGCCTCCGGGAGGTGGTGGTGGAGGCCCTTCATCTCCAGCTACTGGAGGTGGCCGACCTCCAGCTACTGGTAGAGCTGGTGGTGGTAGCGGGCCTCCGGGAGGTTGTGGTGGAGGCCCTCCATCTCCATCTACTGGAGGTGGCAGAACTCCACCTACTAGTGGTAGAGCTGGTGGTGGAGGCCCTCCAGCTAATGGTGGTCTGCCATGATACTCATCATAATCCATATACTACCCAACAATATGAAAATATCATGATAGCTTATGTAATTTTGTAAATAAACTGACTTGCTGCTTTTTGAGAACAAAGATTGCAAAACTGCAGGAAAAGTTAAGCGGGAGCTGTGAGTGTGAGTGGAGAAATGGCAACTGAAGCTGAATGTAAACTTAAATAGTTTTAGAACAGGAAATAGATCTTAGTAATGTTCAGTAATGATTAATAATTATGAGCTATTATAGGCTATGAATATAATTAATGATTCAAAAATTAAAAAAATAATTGTATG